TTCTGTAAAAGTTCGTCCGATGGAGAATTATTTTTAATAAAATAAAAGACAAAACTGTCCAAAAAGGATCACCATTTATTACTTGTGTTCCAAGACTAAAACATTTTCGGCGACTGACCTTCCTTTTTAGGCTACTTGTCGCCGTAAAGTTCACAAAAAGTCCTTTTAAAAACACAAAACATCCAATTAAAATTTTATAAAATTTCTGAAAAAGGAACTGGTGACATGCAGTTGTCTTGCTTCCATCATACCTTCTTCTGGGGTTTTCTTCTTCTTTTTATCTACTAAAGTGTAGCGCTGGAAAATGTAGATTTTTAGAGAAGTTGTCCCCTGGTGACGATATATGTAGAAATTTCTTCTGTAAAAGTTCGTCCGATGGAGAATTATTTTTAATAAAATAAAAGACAAAACTGTCCAAAAAGGATCACCATTTATTACTTGTGTTCCAAGACTAAAACATTTTCGGCGACTGACCTTCCTTTTTAGGCTACTTGTCGCCGTAAAGTTCACAAAAAGTCCTTTTAAAAACACAAAACATCCAATTAAAATTTTTTGTGGATGCATAAAACTTTATGCATCCACACAAAAACAACTTCAGCAACTCCTACAAATCACACATTCATACACCAAGGACATACAAATGGAGTTTGGCTTAGACAAATGCAAAAAACTACACATAGAAAAAGGAATCCTGAAGAAAGAAGATTTTGCACTTGGAAATGGAGACATTATTAAATCCATGGAAGAGGGCGAGTTCTACAAGTATTTAGGATTCCAACAGGCAAAACTAACAGAACATATACAAATAAAGCAACGATTAATTAAAGAATACCAAAGTAGGTTAAATGCTATACTTAGAACACAGCTAAATGCAAAACACACAGTTAAAGCAATAAACACACATAATATTCCAGTACTCACATACTCTTTTGGAGTTATACATTGGACTCGCACAGATCTTGAGCAACTCCAAAGGAAAACAAGAACAACACTTACTAAGCATAAACATCATCATCCTAAATCTGCCACAGAAAGATTAACCCTTCCACATAAAGATGGCGGACGTGGCCTGATTGACATAGTTAACCTTCACTACAAACAAATACAGTCACTGTGAGAGCTTTTCTACAAGAAACAAGAAACATCACAGTTACATAAAGCAGTAACTCTAGCAGACTCAAATAACACACCATTAAACTTACACTCACAACGTACAGACATGACACAACACACAAAAAGCATAGACACCATCAAGCAATCGTGGGCTCGAAAGGCACTCCATGGCAGGCATCCTTATGACCTGGCCCAGGATTTTGTTGACAAAACTGCATCAAACAGCTGGTTAGATCGGGGATGCCTCTTTGGGGAGACGGAAGGATTCATGATTGCCATACAGGATCAGGTCATAAATACTAAAAACTACAGAAAACACATACTCAAAGATACAACACTCACAAATGACACATGCAGAAAATGTCACATCATGCCAGAAACTATACAACACATCACTTCTGGTTGCAAGCTCTTGGCACAGACAGATTATTTACACAGACATAATCAAGTAGCAAATATAATACACCAAGAGCTTGCAAAGAAACACAAATT